AAATTTTGCAACTGTTCCAAACAAGTCAACTTTAACAAATATTTCTCACAAACAATTTTTTTTTTTTACCATTTTTTCAGTACATAGATTTGTCTTCTCTTAAAGTGTTTGCATTTTTAGCACTTGTTGCATGAACTCTTTTCCCATTGAGATGACAAGGTGCACAAAACCAAACCAAAACAAAAAACAACCAAGACATCTTTGCTCCTAACAGAGAGTCACAGTCACAGTGAAAATGAATTTTGTTCTCATGCGATATTAGCCTCTGGGGAGATAGGACCACAATCCAGAAGTAATCAGGATTTTTTAATGAAGCAAGTTAAAATGTGAATAAAAGCTCCAGCCTCTTATTCAAGCACAGGAGATCCTATTATCCTTTTATTCTCTGTAGGGTGCACCGTTTATGTGATGGAGTCTTTATTACCAGAAGTCAGCAGTAGAATATGACACAGCCAGTCTCCTCCTTGAGAGGGAGCCGCGGTTTGTTCTCTGAAAATGTAACTGGAGGATATATCTCAGGATCTTCACTGGAATCTGCAAAATGATCTTGCTCTCTCCTATCAGGCAGAGGTAACCTTAGACCTTACCTCAGTAAGGTTCTATATGTGATGGAAGCCTGTCCGGGCTTGAATAGGAAGGAAGATTACAGAAACATGCTTAAGCTAATCTTCTCCTAATTATGCCACCTTTGCTACAGGGTTTCAGTTATGTAACTGACAAGAATGTGAATAAGGATATGATTGAGATCCGTCCCAGAAAGGGAGCCCTTCTTGACAGAGGCATTGAAGCTCCAGTACATGATGAATAATATGAAATAATAACATATAATATTACATATAATACTCTCTCTATATATATTAATATTTATAATATTAATTATGTAATAGTGAAATAATAATAATATGAATGAAAAATATGGTTTTCTCCTTTAACAGCCCAAGCTGTGTCTGAATATAGTGCACATTCATGGGCCTCTACTCTGCACCAGTGTCTTTCAGGCATACACATCTTCCTCCTGTGAATGCTGAAGGTTAGTCCTGACCTCAGAAAAGCTTCTAAGGACCTGTTTATGTAACTTTATGTTCCTTTCCAGGTGCCATATAACAGTATTTCAGAGTTCCAAATTTATGTGATTAGGCCTTTAACTAGCGTATGGAAAAAAAACACTTCCAATGTGCTGGAAGTCCTGTACAGGGTGAGTACCCCCAATCCAACTGTTACATTTATACTTAATATATTAATATTGGAGCAGACTTAGAAATTTGATATTGGTCAAACAGCACAAAAGTTCAATCATCAGGGAAGGCGTTTGTTTATTGTAACAGACAAACCAAACAAACCAAATGTGTTATTTGTTGCTTTCACAATGATGAAACTACACACTAATAGCTGCAGTGGTTAAATAGTTGTGTTTTTTTTTTTTTTTTTCCCCATCCTTTACTAAAATGTTCTCCCTATTTTCTTCATATGTACATTTCTACTAACATGTCCCACCTGGGCCATGGTCTATGTTGGACTAATACAAGTCTTGCAGTTTTTCCTCATAACTCTATGCCTAAACACCTACTCCAACCACTTTTCCCACTGTCTTCTGGACTCTCCCTAATCTACCTGTCACTGTTTTACCATAATCTGGGCAACAAGAGGTATGATATTCCTGCTGTTCAGCACTTACTAAGCACACCATAAGCAGATTTGGTTCTGGACACATATACTGCTGGTTCCTGTTTGCTGATATCTGCTGTTGTTCCTGGTTTTATTCCTGTCTAGCCTGTCATTACTCATTTATCAGTGTACTTAGGTTTTTTTGTTTGTTTGTTTGTTTGTTTTGTCCAAACATGCTAGTACATATTAAATTCCATGACACTGAATTTGGGCTAGACCTTGAAATAGCCAGCATCACTGAGTTCTGATCCTTCCTCTGGAACATTACAGAATCACAGAATTGTGGGGGTTGGAAGGGACCTCAAGAGATTATCGGGTCCAACCTTGCAAAACATCTTTTCTTCTTTCTGTTCCATCATGTATTGGAAAAAAAATGAGGTAGAAATCAGGTGAGTCCACATAAAGCTATTCTTGAAAGACCATTTTAACTGAAAAATATTTTTAAGATGTCTGAGTGAGCTTTTTTTTTTTTTCTTTTTTTCTTTTTTTTTTCCCCAAGCAGAAGGGTGCTGTTATATGGAGATTTCATCTAGACCATGTTTTCTAAGTCTAAGGGAATATAATTCAGCTTTTCCTATACTATGGGTAGCTTTATATAAAGCTAACCTTAATGACCTACTTAAGGCTGGAACTTATGTTTAGTGGATGGAGAAGTCAGTCATATTTTGGGCAGTTAGCAAAAAGATGCCCAGAGTGCTGCAATACTAAGCCATAAATTGAGTGTTCTATTTAAATCTTTCTGCAACAAATTTCCTGTAACCTAGACCCACGTCATTCATATTCTAAATCTTGTCAGAGTCTGATTCACTCAAAAATTTTAAAACTTTTTTTTTCATTTGGAATTGGAGAGAGGTTTGAGTCATTTTAAATTTATTTTCTTCTGTAAGTATTTTAGGCAGGCAGTGAAGCAAGTACCAGGTTATTATTGTGGTACAGGCTATACTAAAATAGGAAAAATACAGAATGCCAATATCTCCACATATCTACTTCCTTAAACTTACAGAAAGCAGTGAAGCTTGTGGGAAGCCAATCTTTTGAATAAAGTGAGCAGAAAATCAGAAAATAAAATTAAAGTATATCTAACAACATAAATTTTATTTTATTTTATTATTTTATTTTATTTTATTATTTTAATTTTTTAACAATCAGCTGACAAAACCACCAGGCAGGCTAACAAATTGGCTAGAATTCCTGGATTCAGATTGCCTGATGAGGTAATGCTTTTTGCTTTCACAATATATGCTGCGGAAGTTAAATTTTTGCTTTTGGTGTATGCAGGGCTTTAGCTTCACTTGCAGAGCTAATGCTTGCAGAATATTTGTACCTTTGTCTTTTAAAACTGCTTTAATTTTGTTGTTGTTGGAGGGGGTGTGTGTCAGGACCTGCTTCATCCTCTTTTACTGGGACTTGAAACTCAAATGTTTTGAGTCTTTTAAGTAATATTTTCTATCAAAGGACACAACGATACATTCAGAAAGTTCATTCATGGTTATATGCATCATTCATGTTTTTTATTCATATATAATATCCTATTTGTTTTGAAAGCTTACTCCCAAAATATTCCATTGTGTTGGAAATTCCCCGGAGCACATTCCTTTTACAAATTATCCAGTCTTTTATAGGTCGCTTCTAATTTGGACACTTCACTGAACACAGCTGCCACAATTAGAGTCAAATTTGTGATTTTCTCCATTGTATGGTACCAGTGTGAATGATACATAAACACAGCTGGCCTAAATGCAGATTTCTTCACATGATGATGCCTATCAGCAGCAGCATTTCTCTGAGGCACTGACCCACGGAGGCCAAATTAAAAATCAAATTAAGCATCATAAATGCAACTTCATTACTATTCACACTTTGAAAATCACTAACGGATATGGTTTATATAAGAAAATCAACTGAATGTCCCTAACTGAAGAAGTGCACAGGTCAGTGTAAGGTTTCATCATACCCCAAGACATTTTGGCATTAGATTGTCCACAGCTCCTGCAGATGTACATATTATTTTAAAGGATCATTGAAAAAAGGGTGATGCTGAAAGAAAGTTTCCTTCCCCATGTGTGTGCCATTCATTAAAAAGATCAATTCAAACTTAAATGACATGGAATTTCAGTAAAAATTGTATTCAGGTTATTTACCTGTGAATCACAAACTCATACTGAGATATGGATTTGGCAAAAAAAGGGGAAGGACTAACTGGACAAAACATGATGATGAGCTGCAGTGCAGGGACTCGGGTGGAAAAAGAAGGGACTGGGGTCAAAAAGAAGGAAAAGTTTGTAAGAAGATTAGGCAGAGAGGATGAATCCAGGTTAAATTGTGGAGGAGAGAAAGGGAAAGGTTGAAGCTTGGGTCTGTGATGTAGATCCAGGGATAAGGAAGAAACAAGTAAGAAAGAAAGAAATTGAGCAAAAGCTGTGGTGCTGGAGGAGCACATTACCAATACAATCAACACTGAGGGTGATGGAGGGAGAGTTAGTGAATCTGGGCTATGCGGTAATGAAGCTTGTTTTTCTCTAAAATGTGTTTCAATCTATTGAGAAAGTCAGAAGTTTCTGAATCAGGAGATCAGAAAGAGAGTTTCAGGTTCAAGGCAGTTAAATTTTCCTTTGTGAGACTAGATTCTGTACCTGATTATGTACCACATATTTTATATAAGAATGCTAGATAAATACAGTTCTATTATTCTATAAATCTTTTAAACCAGACCTCCACAAATGGTCACCGATCGCATGTATTTTTCTGTGTGTTCAGCTGAATTCTTTAACTTTTGGGTTATGTCCTCTCAAAATAAGTTGGAAGTAACTTCATGTGCCAAACAAAAACACCTATAATACTATGTCAGTCAGAGAAACATTCTGAAAATAGATCAGTTTATATTTGAACCACTAGGGTATCATGGTGATGAGTACTGCTGCAAAGCCCAGGAGGAAGCTAATTCTGTTCCTGGAGCAAGGTTGGACAGGACGCACTAAACATGGCACAGGACCATGTACCAGTCCTTAAAGAGGAAACAAAAGAGAAGCAGAAGCTTGACCAGCTGATTTTTTGCAGAGCGTTGTTCCTTCCTGTGAGCTGAATACAACAGTGGTCCTGAGGGGAAAAACAGTGTGTGAACGTGTAATTACAAGACTGTATCATAATGTTTATACCCAAAGGGACTGGATTAATTTTGCACAGGCAACCTTACTTCTGACATTGCCTGACTCTGAAATGCATGATTAGTGACTGTAACCAGGAGCAGAGGGACTGCTCTTTTGGTAGTTCTCATGTGTTTAAAAGAAAACAAAAACAAAAAACAAACAAACAAACAACACCCACACCCACATGACTCTTCAACACGAATTTTATTTCAAATGCAGTTACATCATTTTATCATTTTCAGCCTTATAGTTCTAGGTGAGTTTGTTTGCTTGTTTTACTAAGACTATAATTTTTGTATTTAAGTTAGGTTTGTATTAATTATTTCAGCAACCCAAACTTCAGATTAAATTTAGCATGTAAGGAGCAATGTATGTAGGACAACTCTGAGTAACACAACAATTTTCTTGATAGTCTGCAGGGACTGGCAGCATAAAATTGCTTGTTTAATATTCAAATCTGCTGTGAGATACTCCTTGCAGTCCTTTCTCAAATGACTCCTTGAGCTTCCCTAGAGACCCAGGCTGCTCAGGGTGGAAGGCTGGGTTATATTTCTCCTTGTTTAGAGGCGGTGATACTATGTAAGTGAATTTTTCCATATGGAAAGGCTGAGTGTGAGGCTCCTACAGCAAAGTCCCTTTCTTCACTGGTCTGTTTGTGTCCGTGGCTCTCTGCACTGAAATGCTCCTCAGCTCTTTCCCAGTCAGTAGTATCAATCCAGGACAACCTGCAAGAAAAGCACCTGAGGACTGTGAACATCCAGGGGACTAAAGCTGGGTTTTAGTTTATATGGTTCATCCCATCACAGGGATTGGGGGAAGGTGGGTGATATTTTTTTTCCTTCTTTTTTTTCCTATCTGGATCTTATACGGAAGTGGTGTTAACTTTGTCCAGTATTCTCACCCCATAATACCTCAAAGATCCATTACTCTGAGTACACTACAATATGTGATTCTCTTCTGGCTACACCTGATTTTGGGGCCAGACATTTAGCAAGTAAATTCAGATTCAGCAGCACAAGAAGATTTAATGAATCTACCTTGGTTTTGCAGATTTGTCCCTCTAGGAGAGGGAGCTTTTTTTTTTTCAATTTCAAATGTATTGGTTGGTTGGTTGTTTTTTTCCAATTTATCAATCCAGTGTTGTAGGTTTTTTTTGTTGTTGTTGTTGTTTTTGTTTTAATAAATTTAGTTCCAACTAGGGTTATAGAGTTTAGTTCCAAGCAGAATTATGGAGTAACTGTATAACAACTGCAGAACAAAGTATTCTTTGCTTTTTAACCACCAGGGTAAATGTGTGCTAGAGCTATCTTCCCATTTTCTAGTATGAATAGCTAAGATTCTTCCATTATGAGAAAAAATTGCCTCAGATTACTGGAATGTCTGACTGCTTCATAGTCTTATATGTCCCTGGATTTGGTCTAGCCAATTAAAGATCATGTTTCTTAACTTTCTGCTCTTAAAGAGCAGATTCAGACAGAAAGGGAGAGTGTCAGCTGGGGTTTGTGATATACATGTATATACATAAATATTACAGCTGCTACATGTTTGTACTGTCTTTTTTCCTCTTTGGAGAACTATAAAATCATGAGGTACAGTACATGTCTAACTTTGAAATTTCTTGTGAAGAAGATGCTAAAATTTATAAAATTTCATGTTAGGAGTGGACAGTAGCTCTGTAGAATCAGACTTGTTTCTGTGTTTTTCATTGTATCCAGCATTTCTCTTGCCATGGTCTGATTTTCCATGCATGCATGTTTTGTTTTGTTTTGTTTTTCTCAGTAGATTTTCATGGAATAAAGCATTTAATATATATATATTTTCAATAACACTGCCTGAATATCTTATTTTAGACAAAATATTTTGCATTCTTATGATCAGTGCCATTTCAGCATTTCAATTCATTGATACTAACTTGGAACATCTCTGGAAGACAGGAAAGCACTATTGTCTCCTCATAGGAATAACAATGAAAAGCAAAACAGCATGATGGCAGTTAGGTTTGAAAACTGAAGCAGAATAGGCTACTTGATATATGTAGCAAGACAAAGTTGTGACTTAAACCTATAATCACTTTAGTGGGATAACATTGCAAAACGAGATCATATACTTATATGATAAAAGCAAATTTGACCACAGTTTCTTGCTTTTTTTGATGTGCTGACTACAAATCTATTTCAAGTGTTCAACTGCTGGAATAAAGAGAAAGACTCCTTCTATCATGCATAAATGTTTCAGTCTTTCCAGGATAATCTTTCTATCATGCTTCTGAAAAACCACTTTCCCATGAGATTCTCCTGAAAGCTATGTAGCTATGTGCTCTTCCTAATGGTCCTACCTTTTACTTTTTTTTTTTTTTTTTTTTTTTTTTTAATTTCAACTAATGATCATGAAAGAGAGGCTCCAAAATAAAGCAGGGCTGTGACTCTGGTTTGGCTGCTTGTATAGAGAAGCCATTAATACAAAATTTAGACTTGAAAGAATTTGACTTTCAAAATGGGCTACAAGTTGTGCTTATGGTATCGTGTTTGCCGGTAGAATTTTTAAGGGAACATAGAAATTGGCATTTTACATCAGACCTCATGTTAAAGTAAGCTAATTATCCTGAGATTCTATATAGGGCAAACTTTTTCAGGAAAAACATATCAGAATTCAGGGTAGACCAATGTGAAGACTATTTCTGTTTTCCTTCTGATTGATAGGAGTTTTACTTAAATGTGGAAAGAATCAATGCTACTGCCAAAATTTGCACTGTAATAGTTCAGATACTGCTATCTATATAAATATTTTTCTTTGACTCCTATATTACTGACCTCAGGAATTCACAATTGAAGTAAACTCTATAGTTTCATTACCTAGCATACCAAAAAGCAATTTCAAATAACAGTTTTGAATATCCAGATTTTTTCCTGTTTCACTGGGTACCCTTTTGCATCATGTTTATGATTGCTAACTATTGTTTTCACACTTAGAACACTATTGTTTTCTTCTATGTGAATTATTTTCATGAATATGAATTGAAATGAACTGAAAATTAGGTCATTCTGAAACTATTTTATTTAATTTACTGATTTTTGCAAAACAGCAGGCCCTTATTGTACAGTGACTGAGAGCAATATAGTTATCAAAGCATGGAAGGCCTGGGCTGAAATCCCTCTTCTTGTGTGACAATTTGAACATATACCTTTTACCTTTGGAAAGATCACCTTAACCACGAGTCTGCAAGATGTGCTAGGAAGAGCTGTTTCCATTTTCTATAAATATCAGCTTGATATGCACTGAGAGGGTAAGGAAAAATGTAAGAAATGAATTCTGCTGTTTGTATCAATAGCGGAAATTGAGGAATGAACTGAGATTGTATGTCCTTACCTGTTTCTCAAGTCTTGTGAATATAGCCCTCTGTTCTGCAGGCAAAGCAAAACATCAATTACTTACATATTCTATACTAGTTTCATTCCCATTACTTTTACTGAATTGACAGCTCCAGTATTTTCCAATTATACTCATGGTCAGAAATGTGTTTTTCTTTTTTTTTTTTTTCTCTTCTGAAAAGCATTCTCTTTTTTTTTTCCTTGAGCATCTCCATTAGTTCAGCAATATTCTCTTTGAAAGAAGTAACATGCTCTTTGTACAATATTGCATGTGAGACTGACAGAGTTATAGGGTGTGATGCATTTCTGATCTCTTAAAAATGTATACCACTTAGGTATGAAGCTTGTTGTCTTCATTTCCTTGAGGTGAGCTCATAGACTGAAAGAAATTCAAGATCAGATCTTCAGTGCCTCGTGTAGAAAGATATTTCCATCAGCAGCTTTTGTTCTGGGAGATGGGATCAGCAATAAGTACAGTATGCCTTTGCAAAGGAAAATATCATTTGTTTTTATGAGTGTGAGCAAGGCATAATAACACATATTTTTGCAGGAATTATAGACCTTCATGTATAGATCTGTTATATTCCTTTGTCCTTCAACACTAATAAACAGTTAACTGCTCCAGAGTTCTGTCTCGGGCAATAGGATAACCACTATATGGCCTTTATAGAGCGAATTTTTCATTCATTTTTATACTTTTGATATACAAGCTTTTAACCATGGCAAACAAGCTCTGAGGCATAACTAGAGGTTTGGGAGCAAGTTATTCATGTTTGATAGCTCTGTAGTCACTTAACCCTTAAAAACTTGTCAGATTATTTTATATGGAATTTACATCAAATGTCAACTCACTACTGTTAATTTGAACAAATATATATGCAAGTCAGAAACTTGACTTCTGGTGAAACTTGTAGCTCTGAACTGTTATATTACCTTTGTGGACTGCAATTTGGAGTATTTGTTGCTACTCCTTGTTTTAAGGACATTAAGAAGTGAGGTTATGATCTTCCTAAATCCTTCTTACAGTGGAATTAGGAAGCTTTGAAGCCTGCTGAGTCCTAGACAGTGATTCAGTCCGTGTAGTTACTAAGACTGTTAAATCCATGAGACACTGAAATTGATACCTCCCAATGCAGTCTGAATGTTTCCTAAGCACTAACATTTTGTCAGTCTGTATGTACACAAGAGTATTTCCTTCTGGAGAATTGTGCACCCAAAGGTATATTGCAATCTAAGTTTAAGCAGAAGGATACTTGAACCCTTGGAAAAGCCCCAGATGTTAGACTGTGCAAAGTCTGTGTCTGGCTTCACCTTACATGAGTACGGTACTGGACGAATGTGGATGAATCCTGTTTCTGTCCCAATATGACAAGGACATGGCATAATGTGATATCAGTAAATAAGGAAGTCCTCTCACAACTAAATGTTTTAGCTAATAAACTGGACTTGAACTCTTGCAGTACTTTTTCCCTTTCTGATGGGAGAAGAGCTCTTGGGTAGAGAATTTACTTGGGCACTCTCCTGAGACAGCCTCAGCTCTAATCAGGTTGAAGATAGTCTGGCATCCAGATCTGCCAACTTTATCACACATTTTAAATACCAAGAGAGTTCAATAAAGTGCTACAACTTTGGTTTTATTTGACACCTGTCCTCAAAATGGAGCTGGTAGATGAGATTAAGTACAACATACAAAAAGAAGCTAAATCCTTTAGCTTCTTTAACAGACTGGACTGACGTCATCTGGAAATGCGCAGAGCCCACGTATAGGCAGGACAGAGGGTGAAATATGTAACCAAGAAAGAATGGATATACTTTTGCAAGTCTTCAAATGTACCTGACTCTCTCCATTGACTTGCAGAGAAAATGGGCAAACTAAACTGCCTTCCTTTGCCAAACACGTAAAACTGAGGTGATGCAATATCTAAATTGAGCAGACTGGATAATACCCTGAAAAACAATGTTGTGTGGCCAGATGGTTGAATGAAAATGGCATGAGTCTCCTGCGGTATGAATATTGCAAATGGCAAAATTTCATGTTGCCCTTGCCAAGCAAAAATTTTGTATAATGAACCTTATTGCTGGAGGGAGGAGTCACATGTACAACCTTTTCTCAGACTCTACATGAACTCCTTCATCCAGAAGGTGCAGCAGCCTACTTATACCTTCTGCCCTATTGTTAATGTGCTGTTCTGTCTCAGCTGTACAGCTTGAGAGCAAATGACTTTGATGGATTCATATTAATTTTTATATTTCACTGTCACTAGTTTATCATGATGTTCAGGGACAAAGCAAAAGATCTGTATCAGCCACATTTTGATATATTATACCACCTCCACAGGGCAGTGGTTTTGTTTTGAGTATTATTCCTAAATGATTGGTAAAACAGTGTAATATGTAACTGTTCACCTAAGGTATAGAGAAGTACTTCATTAAAACATGAATTGCTCACAAATGGGGCTCTGAATTTTTTGGACAGGTTGAGAAAAAAGGAGTATTTGTGTGTGTTTGGGAGGTAATGGGAGTGTTTTGTTTTTCTGCATTGAGCATCAAATTGATTGTTCCTGTTTTAACTAACTGGGCAAGTCAATGAGATAGAATTGTATAAATCTTATTCTTTTTGATCTATTTGAAAAATCCAACGTGGACTTAACAAAATGCTTTTTCACAGTGGAGGGCTTGTTGAAAGCATGTCATAGCCCATTCAGCTTGCTTTGAAGTCCTCAAATATTTACCAGGTTCACCAAATGTACTATCTTGAGCTGAGCCTGCAGATGCTACTTTACTTTTGTTCAAATTACATATAAATTATTAAATACGGTGATCTTCTATTGTCCAAGGACACACTTGGCCCTTCTTGTTCTCAAGTTGCTTGAAGGTTTGTGATGGACTTTTTTTTTTATCTGTAAATTGCTATGTGCTGTCACAAATAATTTTTATTTATTTATTTATTTATTGTTCAGAGTTATCTAAATAGTTGCCCTTCTGCATATACACATACATATTTTGAGTTTATCCTGTTTCTTTGAACAGTGAGATTCCAATCCATGTAAGCATATTTTTGTAATCCTTTTACTCTAGGTCCATATTTTTTATTTCTTAGAATAAAGAAGCAAATTAATTGTACTTTACAACATATAATAATAAACACTTTAAAAAATATATACGATTATGCCAGGAATCTTTTTTAATCAGGAAAAAAAAAAAGATACTTTTAAAAATTGGGGACTGATTACTCTAACATTTAACAAGGAGTTTCTATATCTTCTTTAAGGTTTGGCCTTGGTGTGACATTACACAGAAACTGTGCAGAAGCTTTTACTTTAGGACATATCACTCTTATTTTTATACTTTTTACAGTGGATATTAACTCAAATGTTTCACCACTGTGTTTTCAAGGCACTTAATGGTTCTGGTATAAAATATTTGACATCTCTGTTTGTTCCTGACTGCTCATTAATGTAAGATTTGGCAGGTTATGAAGCCTGAGACTGAACTGTATGCCTCTTAAAGATTTTAACATCATTTATGATGGTGGAATTCACTTCTGATTACTGGTTAAAACAATAATTTGTCTAGACACTAAAATTTAAAAGAATGTTTTGCTGCTTTTTTGACTTTTTAAATAAGGAGCTGATTATGTTGCTATGAGCCCTGAAATAATTCTCTGCATGATTTCACTTGATCCTTAACCTTTTGATTTATTATATAAAACAAAGTGACAGTCAGAGAAGGATTATGTTAAAAGTTCGTGGAATATCCAAGTCACTTACTCTCTGAAGAATTCTCAGATCTGGATAAGAGATTTTTCCAACAAAACTGTTATCAAGCATAAGGAGGAGGGACAAGGGAAAAGAAAAGTGGTTTTCTGAAGCCTACTGTTCTGAATAAATGTGTCAGTTGGTTTTGAAGATCATCTAAGCCCACAAACTGAAAACAAGGTTCCACTGTAGCTGGGCCTGGTTTCTTCCTCTTGGTTAACCTGGCTGAAACCCATCGCATCACTTCTCAGTTCTTCAGCTGGGTGTGAGGACAATGCAGAGCCTGAGAGCTGATCAGGGGAGAATCAGGCTTTTGCCAACCCCAGCAATACCTTGAGGCATCTGTGAATTAGGGCTGCACTGAAGCCCCTTATGTCTGGGTCCTGTACAAGCAGGCTGTGCAGTGCTGCGTCAGGAGGAGACATAAATGTGTTAAATAAGGCTGCTACAAAATATGCAATTGAGGCCAGCTTCATGGCCTTAGGTCAGCTTCACATTGGTTGCAGAACAGGTGATTTTAGCCTGGTACAATAATGATTTCTATATATTTTTGATCAGAGTGAGACTTTCATGTGCTTCATTAAAAAAAAATAAAAAAATAAAATCTGGTGCAAGGAGCTGCAATGGCAAATGTGTAGGATTTATTGATTGCTTCATGACTGGGGTCTCTCTTTTCATTATCATTTGGAGAAATCTGACTAACATTTATAATTCTTTCTCCCTCCCCCAATATACATTCTGGGAAAACATCTTTACCCCTAGCCATCTATCTTTCTAATTTGAAATGAGACTCTTTTAAAATATCGACTTTACCAACAGTATATGAATTGTGAGTTCTGAGCATCTACACTGATTATCTTGATCAAGCTAATTTATTTTAGGGATGCCCTGTCCTTGGTTTTAAATTATTAAGTGCTTTCTTGGAATAAGGAGCAGTTGGCATTCTGTGATAGTTTGAGAAATTCAGGTTGTTCTTTTTTTCTTTAATACAGTATAGCCATGGTGTGGAAGAATTACAGAGGCATGGCTCCAGCTGTGCTACTCAGCTTCTGTAAGCAGAATTAAAATTACATATGAATGGTTTAATTGCCCTTCAGTTTGTAATATTACAAACACAAGCTGTGGCTTTTCTCTTTTTTTTTTTTTTTTAATCTATAGTTATAGGACCGATATTTTTTTTAATATTTAATCTATATCCATTCTTATTTATGTTGATGGTTGTGGGTTGTGGGCAGTAAGATAAGGTATGTGCCTCAAAAGACATACTCTTGGTAGATGAAGCACTACAAACCTGGTACTTGACATTATTTTCCTACCTGGGGTGACTCACTAGATTTTGATTAATGTTTTAAAAGAAGCCAACACTCATTAAATACAGAGTAGCTATTATCAACAGCTACTATAAATGAACCCTAATGGGGTTATTGAATTTCATTTTACATAACAGCAACAGCTGCTCTGTTCAGAGAGTTCCCATTCAGAGTCTTACAGTCCTATGTACTTGAATAATTTTTTGTATGACTGAGGGTTCCAGTCTCAAACTGTTGATGGGAGTAGATGCCTCCTGGTGCCACTGCGGAAACTATGAGAGGCATGCAAAATCAAGGATAATAAAATATGACAACATCTTGTATCATATCATTAAACAGACTGTTTGTATATTGCATTCACTAAGGCTTTTCCAGTGAGATGTAAAGTTGTGATCAGTCTTGTCCTTTATAGATTGGGGAATTCATTCCTTCTATGAAGTAGCACACTCTAGATCACTTGGATAATATTTTTCTAGTCTTAGGTGGAAGATATTTTTTGTTGGTAAAAATAGTTTGTGCATGGCTTATCTTACATGTTTGTTTTGGTAGGAAATTATTTTGACTGCTTTTTTAATTTAATTTTCTCCTGAAGGGAAGGAGAGAGAACACAAACATCTACATTTTTTATTTTACTGTTCACTTAGAGATTAATGTCTATTCAACCATGAAACTTCATATTGCCATATCAGCAAAAACCTGTCCGAAGTCTATGTAGCTATGAATTTCTGTCACTTCATAGCCCAGAAGTTATTATTATTCATTTAGCATAATGGATAGATTGTGATTGCTTATGCTAAATAACATAGGCATCAGCTAACTGCTATCAAAATGGTGTGGCAAGCATAATGTACCACTTCTATAATGGAAAAGTATATATTTTTCATTTTTTATAGCTAGATGAAGAAAACACATTTACATGTATTTCATCCTATCCTGTTTGGGGGCTGAGATAAAAACATTTGCATTTTTCATGGAAAGAGTCAAACACCCGACCGAATTATGAAAATGTATTGGTGTTTTTGACCTGTAGTCCAACAGTGATCCTAAGGACTCAAAGTCCATGATGTTACATTTTTCACCTCCATATCTGCAGTAGAGTATTACCATATTCATTTCAAGGTTCTACTTAAATTAGTTGGATTGCTGTTAAAATAAAGGACTCTTCACCAAGAGTGTATCTGCTTTCATTAACAATGTGATTTGCAATTGCATGCGGTGGTCATGTGATGGTCATGTATGTCTGAAGAATGATAGCAGATCGTGAACTCAATTTAACCAGACCTTTACTTCTGTCTTATTTCAGTGAATCTAGGTTGAATTTCTCATTCTTACTTTCTTTTTTCTTCCTCTCTTTGTTGTGATTTCAGAAGCAAAGCTTTTACTAGTGAAGCTTTTTTAAAGATAAAACTGCTAACATCATCCTCCTGCTAGTCCTATGTGTAATTTAGTGGCTTAGAAGAGATTCTAAAGTACATGCAGCATTAACTTTACTTCTTATTCTAAATCACCACTCAGAATGGATAGACTTCTTATCCTTAAAACTGTATCTATCTCTCCAGACTCCTAGGATCATAAAAGGAATAAAAGCATGAGACACTGATTGTACTTAAGGGGGGACCATTATTCTCCATTCTAGATATTTTTTAAAACTCCATCACACTGCAAGAGGCAAATGCTTGTGCTGTGCCTCTCTCAGTTGTTCTATTTATGCAAAAACTCTGCAATGAAAATCATCTCCAATGCTTTCAGAGAGGAGAATATAACTGTTGGAGGCTTTTCCATGGCTATTTTATTGACACATCTGATCAGTGTGGCACCATTACACATACCCACAATGAAGTTTACATATACCCACCAGAAATATTTATCCCAGTAAGGGGTTCCCTGAAAAAAAAAAAAAAAAAAAAAAAAAAAAAGAAAAACCAAAAATAACCACTGATAATATGGACTGGCCAAAAGTGCTTTGTTCCAGAAGTTTTATGGGCTTTTTGGATGTAGCCCAATCTGAATGTACACAACACTGCCATCCTTGTTTTCCACTCTAGATACTGTTAATCTCATTTGTCTTTATGATGGAAGATTAATAGATAAAATCAAAGATCTGTTCCATGTTTACTTGGCCCCCACAACCTCAGGGAATATAAACTGTCAAGGGACAGGTGTTAACTTCAGCTGGCTGCCAACACAAAATTTGGTAGCACTATACTAGTAAAGGAGATAAAATAAAAGGGGTGATAAGTATCACTCTTGTTTTCATTTCCTCTGAAGATGTTTCCCATGCTAATTTGTTGCTGGCTTAAGTAGACGTGCCAGATAATGTTAGGACAACTCAGTTATCAGACTCTTTTGACAAACTCGATTTTGCCTTACAAAATAGGAACCATAAAAAGTGCAACATTTTTCTTTCTTTATTTATTGCACCTCTCTGCAGATCTTGTTGTGTCTGTCTGTATGTACAGGACTTTTCTAAAACTCTTATTTTAACAAACAATCTAACCTCGTTGCCAACCCTCAGCTTTCAGTTAATGAAATGCTGTCTAGCGTGACATTAGCCCTTGCTACATAAGGGCACTGTTGAAATTCAGCCCCTTGCTGAGGAGGTTCAGGCAGTGTAATCAACCTGAAGAGCACAGCACTTCATACAGTGCAAATGTACTCCTTCCTGATCATAAACACTTCCACATTACTGCGTGAAGTCAATAAGAGGGCATAATACTTAATAAATTGAGAGGCCCTGTTATGCATGAGTTAAATCTGGGGTCTGGATTGGGTAACTGTCAATGATAGTTTGCTAGGTTTTGGAGACTGGTATTTTAAGGATCCCATGACAAAGTAAGCACTTTTAAGTGCCTGCACCTCACTGCATGAGAGATTTCTGCTTAAAATGACCACAAGCAGTAGGACATCAGTGAAAAAAATCCTTCTCAGAGGCACTGTCTTGCATACCTAACTTCTCAAAGAGTGCATTGATAGAAAAGGAAATTTTCCTAGTAGTGAGACTCCCAACATGTGCTAGAGCAAGCTAATTATAGAAAATAAATAACTTCAACTTTGCAAACTTATATTTTAAACTGAATTCCATCTCCTTATGCACTATATGTGAAACATCCTGCATTTTTCCAGAATCAGTAGAATTTCAGGATCAAATTAACTGGCAAATATAGTACATAATTATGTGGTAAAAACAGTCTTGATTAAAAAGTGACCAGATGAGATTAAAAAATTCTAGTGAAGAAAATAATGTGACACCACAATTATAGATACAGAAGAGAATCGATGTGTCTGTCCAATTTACCTATGAGTACAAATACTTAGTTTGGGTCCTGTCGAATGAAGTTTCTTCCTTTTCGTATGATACAGAAGTATCTGAGTGTATCTGAGTGCCATGTATAGGAAATACTGGATAAAGTTTCATCCTGAAGTGTTTGTTCCTGTGAGCAGAATTCTGTCATTCAGAATGGACTGTGTTTGATGAATTCTTCTGCAGAACCAAAGCAGAGTTCAAAAGAGGAGAAGCTTTTTCCCTGATGAAGTCTGCAGTGAGTCTGATGAAACTCTCATCAAACTGCTGCAAGGCTTAAGGGTATTCTGGTTCTCTGGAATTTAGTCCCGTTTTGTCAAAAATTAGACTGAAAACCACACCAACAGCAATGACAAAACTTTTCTGCCATCAGAAAGTCCTAGTTCTCAACCAGTTCTTAATTTCATGGGCTAGAGATGGTAGACTTCTGATGTACAGAGCTTTGGCTGCAAGGCATTCACACATAGAAGCTCTACATTAGGTTTACGTTTGAGGTCTACCTGTGCTGCTTCCTGCTACATGTGAAAGAACTAGTTTAATTCTTTAATGCATTTGCTTATGTAGGGAACAATGGCCAGCAAATGAAAGGCTTTGATTGATGCACTAATGGAAACCAGAGCTGGTAGGAAACAGATATTTTGAATCTATGCATAATTCCAACATTTGGAGCGTAGATTGGTGGCAGATTTGTGCCAATGTTAAATGGAAAGAAAACCCAAATTTCAGTTTCTTATGAAATAGACATTCCTTTCCCTTCTCATTGATTGTTTCCAATATAAGCTTTGATGGTTTGGGTTTTTCATTAGGTTTTTCATTAATGCAACACTATGTAAAATTTAAAAAATCATGTCAGCCATAGGCTCCTAACTAGTATTAAAGCTTAATAGGTTCAAAAATATGATTCAAGTACTATCAAAGCTTGACTTTTGATTTTCTTCCACTGAATATCAACTAGTCATAACATAATTTCACAAAATAGAAAAAGAAAATAAAAAAAAAAGATGGATTTAAAAAGGAAAACTGTATTGCTCAGTCATACCAAATACCTTCTTATCAGTTAAGGTTTTCCAAGTTCCATATTCCTAAATATGGTATTACTTATTGAAGTGTTTTGTACTTGAAAGTGTTTTTCTTAGTATGCCTAGAGTTCCATTTAATTAATTAAAAAAGAATAATCTAGATAAATATACTTGTGGATAGGCATTTTCAAGGAATTGCATGTTGGTAGGGGTATTAACAAGCCCTGCCATTACTAGCAGATAGCAAATAAGTAATTTTCTTCATGTGAATGATGCCTGTGAAAATGTATCAGCTGAGCTGTCTCTTTGAATCTTCCTGCAACTGCTTCAGCAAGAATTTATGTAGAAGAGAAGCCTGTGTAAAGGTGTAACTTATAGATGAATTAAGCATACACAGGAAAAAATAAAAAAAAAATAAAATAAAAAATGTAGTTTTCATAAAATCACAAACATCTAATAATCTCATCTACCACCAGTAGAGCACCATCTCAGGAATAATGGGCTCCTACTCCCTTTTTAAAACGTGACAGAACTGAGGGAAGGAAGAATGTGGAGGATCAAATGGAAGTCCAAATAAAAAGTAAGTGGAAGGAAAAAACAAGTTCTTAATGAGATGGCAGTGCAGTGTGGAATACTTCTTTCCTCAGAAAGACCAAATGGACTGCACTTGTAAAGAAAGAACCCAAGACAGTAGAGGAAAATATGCGTACTGAAATGAGAAAGTAGTATACTACAATATTGAATGTTTATCATATTGTATGGTGCTAAGTAGCTCTTTAAAATTGCTTCCTCCAACAAAGCAGATGACCCATTTCTATCTGGCAGAGAATGAAAAATAAGATGTGTAATGGTAGAAGTGTGTCCTAGGGAGTTTGTTTCTTAAGCATGTGCTCTACCTTTCAAAGCATGAGTTCTGTGCCTGGTGCCAGCTTCTGTTTCACTCAGCATTGAGCTGTGCTTGTAGCAGCTAGTCTGACAAAATTTCTTCCAAGTTACAAACATCTGTGATTTGTCCAGGGTTGAACTTCAGTGAAGACCAGTGCACTTAAGCCCTGCATATAATAGCTCCCTTGCTAGGGAGCACCACTGCTGTGATTTGCTGTGACCTTTCTTGTATGTATGTACCCACCATGTAGAAATTTTCACTGGCCAGTGTGTGATCACCCTATCCATTTCTGTGGATCTCTGATCACTTAGCACAGCACCAGACAGATGCCTCCTCAGGCTTTGCAGACAGTACAGCCGCAATGGTGTAGCAGTGCACACACACCAGCTAATAAGTCCTTGCATTCAGCCAGATTCATTACTCTGGGGGCAGAACCAGCAGACACAGTGGCACAGCAAGATCTCTTAGTGCTATTCCTCCCTCGTTCCATTCTCCCCAGGGGAGCAGTGCAGAGGGAAGGAAGTTTAGAGATGCAGCAGAAGGGGAAAATTCATCGTGCTGGGAGCAAGCACACTTAGGCCTGCCAACCTAAAACAATAATAATAATAATAATAACAACAATTAATAATAATAGAAGACCACAGTGCACGACAGGTTTTCTCAAGGTAGTGTGAATACTGTAGATGAGTGCACTGAGTCACATAGCCAGACCTAGAGGCATTTGGGGCATATGAGTGTGCTCAGGTGCAGATCTCATGCCTCCAGGGGAGGCTTTTGACCTGCAAGTGACCAGAGAGCCTTGGTGTTGTCATGTTAGAAGGAAGCTGTGTGAGAAGTTTTACAAACGTTTGTACTAATGTCCCCAAATGCTACCTTTTTAGAACTTCTCTTTCAAGTTTACATCATATTTCATCCAATATTTGTTCCAGCTTTTCATGAGGCATGTCAGCCCTCTCTTCCCTTCTGACTTCCTTAGCACCCAAGCAATGAAGTTTTACCCACGTAACTCTTCAAAAGCATTGTCTCAAAGTCATATGCCTGAATAGGTGCAGGGCTTTTGTTTAGCGCTGGCACAGGTGAAGATCTTGCACTGTCATACAGGCTGTGAAATAAAAATGATTGTGGGACTTATTGGACTAAGGCAGTGAAAAGAGGAGATATCAAATACAGCAAATAATTTTATGATTAATCCATATAAGGAAAAATTCACTAAACACATTTGGATTCTAAACTGAAGGAAATTACAATCTGCTTGCTGATATTTTGCAAGGAAACCATGAGGCTAAATTGTTCCCTAAAATTACTTGCTCATAATCACAGTCAAGAAAAAGAGCTTCCTCGAGAAGAATAAGTGCAAGAATAGCTTTAATCTTAAGGAAGGGCTAAATCTCTCAACCAGTAAACCAGAGCAGTAGAGTTGGGCGATGGAAGGCAGCCATTGTTCTTTGGCACTGAAGTGCTTCCAGATTGTATGAAATTATCAAAGTGCTTCAGAGGGCTGGGAAGATTGCAGTAACCCTCAAGCCTTTCTACATGCAAAGTTCCAAGCTTCTGGTACTTATTATCTTTTACTGATTTTCTCTCTCCCAGAACACAGAAGGAGAAAGAAAAAAAAAAAAAAAGACAATTTTTTTGGATAAATTTATATTATATATAAATATATACATACGATAAA